GGGACAGCAGTGTCCCTTCCCTGGGACAGGGACGGATTTCGGCAGCCCTCCGCAACAGCCACACCTCACAGAGGAACAGGGAGGCTCAAATCCCCTCCCGCAGCTGCTGCTGGGCAGGAGAATCCTGGGGGAGGGCTCCCCTGGGAGGGGACATCCCTGCTGCCCACCCCTGCGGCACTGCAGCCCCCGCAGGGCCCCCGGGGCATTCCTGGGGAGGGGGCTGAGAAACAGGTGTTTGTCAACAGCTTCTGCCACATGCATGAGAAACACCAGGCCCCGCAGCGCAGCAGGGCTTAGCAATGGGCAAAAATAAAATAAAGAGAACCCCCCAGCAAAACCCTCCCCCCTGTCCCAGCCTGGGACCCGCAGCCAGCACACACTGGCACGTGTACGGAGAGCGGCCATGGGGCTGGTGCTCGGCCCTGCCGCGCGCTCCAGCCTCTGCTCAAGATGGCTCCCGTTCCTCTTCAGCGGGGCGGCCATGCGAAGACAGCACTGGGCTCGCTACCTCCCGACTCGGGCAGCACAGGCTGGAGGGCTGAGCTGTGCTGAGGGAAGAGCGGGTGCCAGGGGAGGGAAGCAGCCCCTGTGGGAGTGGTGGCACTGTGGGAAAGGGACGTAGCCCTGCAGAAAGGGGATGTTGCCCCACTCTCAAGCTCAGCTCCATGACTCCTCCCTGGCCATGCTGAGGGTGGGTGATAAGGGTCCCCAAGCGCAGGAGGATGAGGCTTCACCAACAGTGCCAAGCCTGTCCCTTTACAGGCAGGATGCCCACCTGCCTTCCCTACAAAATGGCTCCCACTTGAGGCTCAACTCTGTGAGGGAACAGCCCATGCCCCACTGCCAGCACCGCCCAGCCAGAGCACAGGGCTGGGTTTGGAGCAACAACAAAAATGCAATAAAAAAACCAAAACATGACTTCAAATGGGACGGTCCCAGTCGGATGGGAGTGTCACTGAAAGGCTGCCTGGCCTTCAAGATGGCAGCCCATCCCCTGGGGCATGGCGCTCTGCAAGGAGATTCCTGCCCATGGAGGGGCACCACCATCCCCCAAATGCTTCATGGGAACATGCTGGACCCAGAAACAACAGCAGCTCATTATGGTTTCAACCACTGAGAAGCTTGCGGCAACGGCAACCACCAGCTCCACCGCAGCCCTTGGGCAGAGTCCCCCTTTCCCAGCGCTCTCCTCCGGGGGAGGCTGACACCCACCCTGTGGTCTGCACCAGCTGGGAATGGGGATTCCGACCCCGGGGCCACCCCAGCACCCTTCCCCCAGCGCAGCTCCCAGGCGGAGACGCTTAATCCCGACAAACCAGTTTGACTCAGCACAACAGGAACAGCTACAATTTTAAAAACATGCAAGTCTGTGATTCAGATTGCTGGGGCTGTTTTAATTAAACGCCAAGCTCCTCTGCTCCAGTGGCAGCGGCAAACGGCTCACGGAAAGAAAATGCAACAAACTGGTTTCCCCAAATATCTCTTGCAGTAAGTCATCATAACAAAACAAGGAGTTTCGGCTCATTCCTTAAAAACCAGAGGCCGCTATTCCCAATTGCAAGGGCTGGGCAGGAATGGCCTGGCAGCCACAGCCCCACTGTACACCGAGGGAGAAATGTGGGGCTGTAAACAGACCCTGGTGCTCCAAGATTTCTCTCTCCCCAGCGCTCTGCATGCTCTGCCTGACACAAAGGAAAGCCCTTCTCCTCCCTTCCTCGGGAGCAGGGACGGGAAGGCTTCCTCGAGCGCAGCTTTTACCGAGGAACAGGAGATTTAATGAATCTAGCGAGTGTTGCAGAGCCCCACGATCCATTTTCCACAGCCCTACGCCAAGCACCCATAAAACAGCAGGGACAACTTCACCCATTGCCCCACCAAGAAACATGCAATTTCTCTGAAAAGTAATTAAACAGAAAGCAAATCTCTCTGCCAAGAAAATACCTGTCAGTTCCAGCAAAGGGGTCAATTAAGCAGGGGTTTGCCGTGCAGAGAGGATCGTGGTCACTCTGTGTGACACCCAGCTGGGATCTCGGAGGTGTCACTGGGCAGAGCCAGGGAAGAAAATCCCCCCTAGAAATCTTGCTGTGTTGCAGGGTTTGGCTATTTCACTAGAGCCCACGTCTGCTCAGGACTACGTGCAGCAAACTACAGTGCTTCTGCATGGGAGTTCATGGGGAAGCACGTGGGAAACTCCAAGTTTAAATGGAGTCCTGAATCCAGAGAGGCTGCTCAGGACAGGAACAGCCTGGGAGAGTGGCTCCTAGGGAGAGCAGGTCCCTGTCCCAGTCTACCTGCACCCCTAGGGCGACAGGCAGATCCAGTCTGTGGCTGTCCATGCTCCCTTGGGCCAGGATGTTTTGAAGCCTGAGGTTTTAGCCCTGGATGGTCGGCAAGGGCCTGGAAAGCAGCACATTCCCTATGCTGTTCCACCACGTCCACTCCCCACAGGGCCTCTGTTCCCACAGCCCCGCTGGGACAAACTTCTCGGCTCAAACCCCTGTGCTGGAGAAAGGATCCGCTGTTGCCCCTGGATAGAACATTCCTTCTGCAGCCGGCCCGGGGACTGCTGAACCGGAGAAGAAAAACACATTGTGACTTCAAACAGACCCAGCGCACTTACAGGATCTGGAGAGAAACCATTTTCTCCTCGGCAGCACAAAGCCCTCACTGAGCTGCTGCCGAGCGCGGCTTTTCTCCTCCACCCCCGTGGGGCCTTGTAAAGAAACCCAACTCCCCGCCATCCCCTCGGGAATGGGGAGCGCCATCCAGCCCCAAAGCCCCCTGCCCTTCCAGCCCAGCACCAGCCGCAAGCCCAGCCCTTTGCACCTCGGAGGGGACGGTAAAGTGGCCGGGTCTGGGGACTGCTCGCTGCTGTTGTCTGCAGGACGTGCGTACAGATTTATGGCCACGCCAGATTTATGATCAGCACTAAAATATCCAAACAAACGTGCACATGAGATTTACAGTAACCTCTGGAACGCGCCAGTCCCAGTCAGGAAGCAGCGGTGAGCGTGGACAGAAATGCCAAACGTAGCAGAAGAGCGGGAGCTCGCTGACCCTGATGCGAGCAGCAGCTTCCCTAAGCTGCAGAGGCAGAAGCCTCTCCAGGCCAGCTGCAACTTTCCCTCCAGCTCGAACAAGAGCAAAGGGAAAAAATTAAAAAAAAAAAAAAAAAGAAAGAGAAAATCCCACGAGGAATCTGGGCCAGCCTGAAAACTGCTGGGCAGCTGCCAGCCAGCCCCAAAGTAGTCCCACTGGACTGGTATCCAGCTGAGCCGTGACCTCTCAGATGGTGTCTTCAGCTCCTGACCCCTCCACACATTCGGGAAGCTGAAAAAACCCTGTGACTCCTTAGCAGGGCCTGTTTGTTTTCTCTCCATCCGACTCTTCGCACTGCTCCATCCCCGGACGGCAGTGGGGGAGAGGTTGGAGCTCCCTGTCTCCCCGGGGGCTGGAGGGACTGTCGCCAGGTGATACACACCGGTGCCGCCAGCGCCCACGCCAGCTACCCTTCCAAAATTCCTAAACCGCTGATGGGAAGCAGGTTGCGAGAGGCTACCTGCAAGTGTGGGGCTACCCGCAAGCGTGGGGCCCCGCCGGGCTCCCTGCCCACAACTTCATTCCCCGGCACCTCGCCAGAAGGCAGGGATCCCCGGGCGGGTGCTCGGGAGCCTCCATGCCGCGAGGGCCGAGTGCCGGTGGCTTCTCCCTTCCCCTCCTGCCGCGGGGTTCCCGCTTAGCCGGGAGCTCACGGACCCGGCAGGCCCGTAGCTCCGATTCCTACAGCGTACAAAGGACGAGGGGGTTTAATTTGTTTTTTTTCCTTTTGAAGAAAAAGCAAAAAAAAATCGCAGGGAGGAAGGATGAAAAGGAACACGGACAACAAGCACCCCCCAAACTTTCTACAAAGCCCAAAGCTAGAGGAAAGACGTCCCCCACCACCGCCGCGGGGGAGGGCTCCTGCCCACGGCCACCCCCGGCGCCGCGGCCCGAACCTCGCAACGCGGGGCGACGGCAGCGGGAGCACGAAGCACGACACCGCCTCCGAGCAGCCCCCGCCGCCCCCTGCCCGGGCGGGGGCACCCACAGCTCCGCTCCCACCGGGGGATCTCCCTTCTCTTCCGTCCCCCCCTCACCAGCCCCCTCCCGCCGCTCCGGCAGCGGGTTCGGTTACCGGACACCGGAACGCCGCCGCCCCGGCACTCCGGCTGGAGCCTCGCACACTTTGTGCCGAGACAAAAACCCGTCCGGGCCTTCTTCTCCTCCTTCTCTCCGGTGCGACCCGGCTTGTCCGCTCGGGAGCCCCCGGTACCCAGCGGGGCCAAAAGCCTCTTTATTTGCTCAAAGCTGCGGGTGCAACGGTGCTGCCCCGCGGACCCGGGTTCACTCCCGAATGGGGGGAGAATTATTCCCCGTTCTATTCCCAACTCCATCGGAGTTCGGGGGTGGGCGAGCCGCGGAGCGCAGACCCGCTCGGGGGTAGATGCGGCACGCGTGGCCACTGGCCCCAGAGGTCCCACGCTGGAGCCTCGGGGGTTAAGGCAGCGGGCGCGGCGAGCCCTGCCGGGGAAGGGATGGAGCCGGACACGGCAAACGGACACTCCTTCCGCGGCCCCACCAGTTCTGGCACGCCACGAGCTTCCACTGAAAGAAATATTAATTTTCCAGCCCTCTCGGTCGTGGCGAAAAGCCTCGAAACGTGAACCGAGTATCCAAAGAGGCGCCGCTCCCTGCCAGCAGCCGCCGGCCGCGGATGCCGCGGTTCTGCCGCGCCGGGCTCGGTTCCACGGGGCGTCGACTCTGAAACCTACTGAGGACGGCTCAGCGCTGGGAGCGGGGCTGCGGCGGCGAGCTCTCCGCAGGTACAACCGGGCATCCGCGGCGCGACGACGAGTCGCACTGAGCCACGACGGGCCTGGGACATCCCGGAGGATGCGTGCTCCCGTGAGCGGTCGCCCGGGCCCCGGTGCGGCGGACGGGCGCGCCCGCCCGGTACTCACCCTCCAGAGCGCGGCGGCCACCGGGGAGCAGCAGGAGCAGCAGAAGGGGGAGCAGAGGCGGCGGCGGCGGGGGGGCCCCCGGGCGGGCCGCGGCCATGGCGGGGGCGGTGCGGGCGGCCCCGCCGGGCAGTCCCGAGCTCGGCGCCACGCGCGGCTCCTCTCGCCGCCGCGCCACGCTCGCGCTCTGGCGCCGCCGCCGCCGCCGCCGCCGCTGAGCCGAGCGGGGCGGGGCCCGGCCGCCAATCACCCCGCCCCTGGCAACCCGGCGCCCCTGGCGACGGCGAGCGCGGCGCCGATTGGGCCGTGCTGCGGAGGGGGCGGGGCCTCCGCGGAAAGATGAATTGGAGGGGGCGGGCACTGCCCGGCGCGCCCCCTCTGGCCCCGCCCCCCGGCGCGGGAGGCGCAGGGCGGGGAGCGCGCCCCACCCAGCGGCCGCCCGCGGAACTGGGCCCTTAAAGGGGCCGCGCTCCGGCCTGCCCCGCCGGCCCTCGGCCCGCGCTGCCCTGTCCCCGCCCCTCCGGGTGTGATGACGGGACCGTGGGCCCTTCTGTGCTACACTACTGGCAGCCTGGTTTACCTGTGCCACCCGGTGCCATCCCATCTCTCACGCATCCCACCCTTGGCCAACACATCTCACCCCATTCTCCCCCAGGTCATCCCATACATCCCATCCTACTTCACTCATCCCATCTCATTGTATCATCAGCCTCCCCACCCCATCCATACCAAGATTCCCACCACACAGACAGGGATGAATGCTGTGGCCCTGGCTAAGTTGAAACCATACAGAGAGCACCCTGAAGTGACCTCTCCCAGCAACCCTACCCCTACTCACAAGGTGCCTTGCCCATCACATTCCTGGTGGGAGAAGGTGCTAGTTACCATGCAAGCCTGTGGGTGCCTCAGCCTTCTTTCCCCTCTGTCCTGGCTTTGCTATGGGAAGGTTTTGGGGCCCTGATTGGGTCAAACTGTGCTCCTTCGGGATGGTGTATCCACACACACTGACCTGGTAGTTGAAACTGGCGCTTCCACATCCTTCAGGACAGACACATATCTGCAATGATGGGTATGGGACGTGGGCTGCCACCTGTCCTGGCCCTCTGTGCTGCATCTGCCTCTCAGATACCTGGGGAGGCTTCACTTGGGCTTACCAAAATCCTGCAAGTCCTTGATGTTGGGGAATGCTGATGCTCCTGGTCCCTGGGAGTGCCTGGAACCCCGGGGGCAGTGGGGTGCATGGCTGGTTGCTTCACCCTGGACAGCCTTGTCCCCCTGGCAGAGCCATCTGGGCTGTCCCCGCAGACACCTGCCATCTGCAAGTGGCACCTCCCCACAGTGCTCTTGCCCCAGAAACCTGCCCCAGAAACTCCCTTGCTGTGCAGCCCCAGCCCTGGCCCCGCACCGGTGCAGTGGGGAGCATGCAGGACCACACTCCTGGCCACGTTCCCCCTGGCTGCTGGCAGGAGCAGGAATCTGGGAGGTTATCAGGGCTGGCTATGGTTGACCTCTCCTCTGTGAGGACAGAGACAGAGCACATCCGTATCCCCTCTGCCTTCTGCTGCTCACTCCCACCAGGGCTGTGGATGGCCATTTTCCTTCCATGTCCTGGAAGGATTTGGCTTCCCAAGTCCTGGCCAGAGAGCCTGGCACAGACCTGAGCTCTGCCTGGGCAGCTGAAAATTTGGAGATGACCGACTCCTACTGCAGGAATGCTGGCATCCTCTGGGAGCTGCGGGAGTCTTGCCAGAATGCTGTGCCCTGAGGACAGCCACAGTGCCCCAGCACCACTGGGCATGCTTCCTGAAGGAAAAGTCATGCCCAAGAGAGCCAGGGTGCTGATTTAAGACAGGACTTATGACTGTGATAAATCTCTGTGAGGGACAGGAGATGCAGCAAGCAGGGACTTGTGTTCTCCAGGTAAAGGGAAGTGGCTGGGAAGCAAAGCACAGTAAGGGGATTGCACTTGTGGAAAATGCCAAAGTTTGAGCAAAGAAGCAGAAGGTGTTGGTTTGGACATGCTGTCACTCAAGGAGATAAGCAGCAGAGAAGAGAGTGATGAAACTGGCATCGTTAACACATGCACGGGAGTATAATGCAGTATCAGTGGGGAAGGAGAGGGCTAGAGGCTGATGGAGATGCTGAGAATCTTAACCAAAGGCCAGGCTCAGAATGGGAAGATTTGCTGTCTCCCTGTGAAGTCACACTCGGGAAATCCCCTCCCTGCCGGTTTACTGAGATGCAGAAACCTCGTTTATTCTGCAATTCCAGAGGTCTGAGTTACCCAAGCACAAAATTTCTGAACGGAGCACATGGGGAAATTGCTTATTCACACTTGAATAACTCAAAAATGGCTGAACCAATTTTACTTAAACTTTCTCCAAGAATTCCCCTTGGAGCCAAGCCATGCCTGGCAAATTTCAGCCCGAAAGGAATTTATTTCAGAATAGGATGAGAAATTGGAGCAGGCAGCGGGGGTGCGCGGGCTGGGGGAGGATGCTCCATACAATCGCGTCTCTCCCCACGTGCGGTAATTAATGAGCCCCCGCTCACTCCCACTGGGCTGGCACTGCCAGCCGGCCTCTCCCCGGGCCTCAGGCTCCCCGGTGCCGCCGGCTGCAGCGCCGTGGTCCCGCCTGGGGGGCTGAGGATTTCGGGGCAGCTCGCTGGCCAGGGAGCCCCGGTGGCTGCCTGTGTGCTGCAGCTGGTGGGCAGCCTGGGGAGCCACGCTGGCAGGGCTCCGACTCTGCACAATACCAAATAACTGCGGTAACTGCGTGGTATTTGCTGGCAGGGGCTGGGTGTTCAGTGCCAAGCCGCCTGCTTGGGCATGGACTCGGTGCTGAGGATGGCGCTGCTGTGGCCCCCGAGGGACGGGGTGATGGCGTGGCTGGGGGATAGACATTTCTGTGTAAACACAGACAGCTCCCGGCCACACAATGTCCCTGCACATACACTGAGCCCTTATCCTCTCCCTGGCACCTTGGGGTGCTGGGGTCTGGAGCTGAATAGGGCTGCAATGAGCACTGCGTTAGCAAGACATGGCATGGGTCGAGAGATGAAACGCGAGGCTGTGGGATAGGCAGGGGAGTTTGTCTGCAGCACCTATCTGAGTTAGGGATGCTCGGCCTTAGAATAGCCTCCAGCCTGCACAGGACGAAGCTGCGGTGCCCACGGAGCCCCTGGGAGGCATTCCTGTGCAGACAGGGAGTGGCAGACATGAAAGGAAAACCTCGAAAAGCAGCAACGGCCATGGAAGGTTCAGAGGACAAACCTCCCAGCCCAGCCCTTTCTCTGTAAGAAATTTCTCACCCAGAGACTCTATCCTGCTGGAGCAAGCCTGACTTTCACTCCCTGTTTCCAAGCACAGCCCTGATGTGCTCCGGTGACGGGCCCACGTCACACAGGCACACGCATGGTGTGCGTCAGGCCACGGCCCTGCACACGGATGCACCCACGCACCCTGCCCGCCGTGCCAGCCACCGCCCCTCACCTCCTCTGCATGCGGCAGTTTCACAAAAAAAGGTGATTAGGGAACAATTATTCCTATTTTCTCAGAAGATCTAAGGGGCATCAAATGAAATTACCCAGCAAAAGTCTAAAAAACAAACAGAAGGGAGTATATTCCTCACGAGCCAGCCAGTCCTAGGAGTTCATTGCCACAAGGTAAGTATGGGGACATGTGTTTGAAGGGTGGAACTGGATGAATGCAAGAAAAAGCCCTGCAAGAGGCCTCTGTTGTCTGCTCACCTGGAACACAGCTGTGCTGGGGCTGGGGGAAGCTGCGTGGGGATTTCCCCATGTTTCTGGGCTGGATACCATTGTAGTAGGGGCCATCACAGCATCAAGTGACATCTCCAAGTCCTTTGTCCAAAGGGCTGCACTCAGAGGGGCGACATCTGAGCAGGCACCCGGGTCAGCCATGCGGCTGCTGGGGGGTCTCCTTGTGCCACCCCCAGTGCAAGAGGAGCCCAGTGGGGCCCTGTTCTCAGGGCAGGGAGCACTGCAGGGTGCCAGCTCGCCCAGCTGGTGTATTCCTCGCCAGACCAGCGCTGGCTCCAGCCTGTCTCCTTCCCAGGCTTCCTGTGCACTTGCCCCTCCGGGAGCTCCTCCCTGTGCTGCCAGGAGTTTGGTGCTGCCAGCGGGTCGGGGCAGCTGGCAGCACCCATGCCAGCCCAGTTGGGCCCAGCAAGGAAACCACCTTCTGCTGCTCATGGTCCCTACTTCAAAACCTTCTCCCATCCCACCCACATCCACCACCCCTCACCTCTGGCAGCTTCAGGATGCAGTTAAACACTTCAGCACTTAAAATTTCAGGTGCTAATTGCTTAGTAATGAAAACTTTAATCACAGGGCAATTAAAACCTTAAGTAGCTGTGGGAGATCCATTCCACGTCAACAAAAAAATAAAAGAGTGCCGTCACTACTCCGGCACCGGCACCGCCCTGGCACGGTGAGGCTCACAGGGCCTGGAGAGCCCATCCGGCAGCCCCCACTGCCCCCAGCTCCGGGAATCTGTGGAGCCCCCCCCTTCCCACGCCGAGCAGGAGGTGGCCGAGGAATGATCAGCTACTGCTGTAAAACTTAAAACCCAGCTAATTTTGGATTAAGTGCCATATGAAAGGGTTTTGTTATTTTAAATCTCCTACTTTCCAAATTCCCAGGATTAAAATTCTCTGCATTTATTTTAACCACATAACATTTGCAGACAAATCACTTCTCCCAGTGCAAAGTTTGAAGCAGGCTTAGCAGATCTAAAGCCCAGCCACAAGCTTCAGGGTGGAATCGCTGGAAGAGGCTGCCAGCGGCCGCCAGCCCCTTTCCCTGGCGCACGCTTGCAGCAGAGCTTAGCCACGATGTCTGCAGGGAGAAAGGGCCTGCTTGGTGCTGGAGCCCGGGGAGGCAGCAAGAGAAGGAAGGGTGGCTGTCATCCTGGCTTCTGGGTTCATTCCTGCACCAGGGATGTGCCCTTGGGAAAATCTGATGAGGCTTGTGTGTGTTTGCAGAGCAAGACCTGTCCATATGCTGCAGGGTGCATGTTGCAACCATGCTGATGCTGTCCAGGTGACACTGTCCAGTTCTGCACCAGTCCTTTGTCGTCAGGTGCTGACAAATGCCTCACAAAAAGTAAATAAAAATCAGGA